TCCTGCTCAGCACACAGCCCCTGACTGTCCCATCCCTGCTGGTTCCTGCTCAGCACTCACTCCTGGCTGTCCCATCCCTGCTGGCTCCATGGAGCCCTAGAGTTGGTCTCAGCTGCAGACATTGAAGACACACAGATGGAAAAAGCTCCCCCACAGCCCCTGTGGGAAGCCAGTGGTCCATGTTTGAACAACTGTGTGGCAGTGAGGAGGAAAGGGTAGAAGTGTCATGGTCTGGATGTTCCCACTGTATTGATTAATGGTCAAACTGGTCCCATTTCATGGGTTCCTCATGCCAGTTGCTTACCCCAGTGTAAATGAGAACTCACCAGAAGCCTGCTCTGAAGGGGCTTGAGACCACTGCTGAAGAAGCTGCAGGAGGAGGAGGAAGAGTTGAGCAGGCTCTGCACGAGGTTCATGCAGGCTGTGGGGTTGCTGGAGCCTGTGATGTTGAAGAGCTCCTTGGGGCCAGGGATGTCCCCTGTGTCACCCCTGGCAGCACAAGGCCCAGCATGCACCGACTGCCACTGCACCTCCTGGGAGTAGGTGAGGGGCCAGCAGGGATTGGACACGGTTTTAGCCCCTCTCTGATCCTGGAGGCACAATAAAACAAGGAGCAAGAGAGGACATTGACATCCAGGGCTTCACACAGGAAGACAGACTGTAACATGGTTAGGAACAGCCTTACCCAAGCACCACAGTGCTGAGATTGAGATTGAGCAGGGAGGCTGTGAAAGCTTTGCCAAATCTTATGGCAAATCTAGAATCAACCACGAGGCCCAGGCAGGTGCCAGCTGAGCTCAGGGTCAGTGACTGGAGGTACTGAGAGGTGATGAGTCCCAGCCCTACCACCCTCCCTCAGAGCACAAATACAATTCCATGCATCCTGGGCTCTTTCTAGTTGCAAGAAGGAGGCTGTTCTGATCTGCCTTCCAGATGGTTCAGCCCCACAAGAATCAGTGATTCTTATCTCTAGAATGGTTCAGCCCTACAAGAATCAGTGGTTCTTATCTCTAGAAATTTAGCCCTATAACTGCGGTGAAATTGGTGTCCAATGTGTGACATTCAGGTCTCAAATAAGGGCAAGTCATGTTTACAGGGAAAAAAGTGAATGGGCAGGGAGCAGTTAATTCCTGGAAAACATCATTTTGATGAGGACTACAGTGATTCTTGAGTTTGTACTATCCTATACTGCTCTTTTCCTCCACCCCATTCCCCAGGGGAAATAAAGTTTGGAAGAACCAAAACACTGGCATGTTTTCAAAATTAAATGTTGCTCTTTTAAAGATGCTTCAGAGTTAAAGTCAGCAAAGGAAATACCCCAAATGGAAGGTCCAAGTTGGGCGCTCCCATTCTAGGATGGAGGAGCAGTTCCTGGGAGCCAAGGCAAGCCTTGCCTCTCCTCACCCTGAAGGTGATGTTGACACCTCTGAAGAGCAATTTTTTGCTTGTGTGGGTTAAGTAGGAGCCAAATAGAACCTGTAAGGAGGAAACCCTTGAACTGGTGCCTGTGTGTCTGCTTTACAAATGCACTGGGTTTTTCTAATATATGGAAACAGCCTCTACTAAAGAGGAATTGACTTCAAAGTGATTGACACTTTGCTCATTTCCACATCTTGTGCAGCTGCCATTTGGTGGTGTTGGGCCCCTGAGCAGACACTCAGCTGGATGAGCACAGAGAGCCCACACTCACACTCACCTGGATGAGCACACACTCACACTCACCTGGATGAGCANAAAAAAAAAAAGATGGGGAAGAAAAAGAAAAGAAGTAAATACTCAATAGCTTTCCTGTTCTAAAACTGACTGTGGGACTGGAGGAGGGGTTTGTGTCCTGTGCAGACTGAAACCACATTTCCTGCACTCACTGGGCTGGGGGGTAGAAATCCATGTCATCTGTTACTTTGTTCCCATCTAAGCCAGATCCAAGAGCAGCAGGACTGACAGCCAGGTTGCCTTGCTGGTGAATTGCTTGGTAGGATTGATTCCCTGCTCTCTAATTAAGCTGAGCTGATGCTGCAGCCTTTCTCCCAACTGGAACATCGGGATCTTTCTCCTCCTTCCAGAAGAGAATGCTTTAGGGCATTGCTTATGGCTCATTAACAAACCCTGGAGAAATTGCCCCATTTGAATGTTACTGTGGATGCTCCATCAGTGTAAATGCAAATGAGGGTGACCTCATAACCACCAACTCAGGGAAAGAAGTGACAAACTCCCTCTGGCTTGGGCTCCCTGGGGCCAGGTGAAATGGGAGCAACCCTGGAGTCTGAGTGGACGTGTCCTCTGCACTTAAGGACAGAAGGATAACAGAAAGACCAAGGTGATGTGCAGGAGTGAGTAGACAACTTTCCTATTTACTCCTTAAAATACTGTAAAAGGTATTTGTGGCTTTTCATTTAATTAGGTCCAGGTGTTACCAGCAGCAGCTGGGATTTGAGAGGAAGGAAAACAAGTGGAGCTTGTTTCTTCAAAGTAAAAAAAATACAAACAAGAAAAACAAAGAAAAGCCTCACAAAAAAACAAAACCCACAAAATCCAGACAAATCCAAAATTTTCCCTGAGGGAGCCAGTAAGTTACAGATCTGTCAGTCTGAGCCCTGAGGGCTTTTGCAGCAAACTGTTCCCTGCTTCCCCCCTCCCTGCACACCGAGTTACTCCACAGTTACCTCTTGGACAGACATCCCACACAGCCTCTGGACAGCCTGGCCCAAGTCAGCAGAAGGTGCAGTTCCTCTCAGGAAGTCCATGGCCTCAGAAACCACCTACAAGAGCAGCAGAAATAATAATCAGTGGGACTGTGCCCTGTGTCCTTGCCCTGCACACCAGAAAGTGCCCCTGGGGAAGTGAGGGGCAGTGGCTGGGCATTGCCAGGGTGCCCTTGGGGTGCAGGGTTTGTTCCAGTGCCTTGGAAGGGCTCAAGGGACATGAGCAGAGCTGGTGCTGTGTGGAGATGGAAACAGATCTGTTCCTAGCGTGCATCCTGCAGCATTCCTGGCCTGCCTGGATAAGTAGACTGGTCATAGAATCAAAAAATCATATTAGTTGCAGGAGATGTCTAAAGTCAAGTTCAACCATTAACCAGCACTGCCAAACCCACCACTAAACAATGTCCCCATGTGCCACATCCTACACAGCTTTTAAATCCCTCCAGGGATGGTGATTCCACCACTGCCCTGGGCAGCCCATGCCAGGGCTTGACTACCATTTTGGTGAAGGAATTTTCCCAAATATCCAGTCTAAACTTCTAGCACAGCTGAGGCTGTTCCCTCTGCTCCTGTCCCTGTTCCCTGGAGCACAGCCTGACCCCTCCAGCTGTCCCCTCCTGGCAGGAGCTGTGCAGAGCCACAAGGGCCCCCTGAGGCTCCTTTGCTCCAGGCTGAGCCCCTGTCCAGCTCCCTCAGCCTCTCCTGGGGCTCCAGCCCCTCAATGGTTTCTTGCCCAAAACTGAGCACAATATTCATGGTGTAACCTCACCAGTGCTGAGGACTGGGAGATGATCCCAATGCTCCTCAGCACCATGTCCATGGCAGACTCAGGAGCAGGGGAAATTTCCATAGTCATCCTCCTTGGAAATGCCCTCAGCTTGTCCTAGGATCTTGAGCTACTCCTGCCTTCACAATCCAATGACTTTGGCCACTAAGTCCAAGTTCTCAGGCAGAAAGGTGCTTGTGGTGCAGCATGACCAGAAGTTTGTAAGAGAGGGGCAGAAGATCTCCAGCTTTACC